GAGGATTCTAGAAGGGTTTCAGATCCGAGGTGCATTGGCGGGGGAGGAGGGGAATGACGTGCACTGAGGTTGAAAAGCATCAGCCTTGGGCAGCGAGCAGGCGGGCAGCTGCGGACATCCTGGCATTCCCGCAGGGCTTCCGGCGAGTTCTCACACCCCCTACAGACTCCCTACAGTTTCACTGGCAGACGTGCCTCCCTTCCGTCTCCAACACGAAGTGTCCTTTATCGAGCGCTTGCTGTCTCATGCCGGGCACTTCAGTAGGTACTGCCTTCATTGCTTCTGCTGAGACCTCCTGAACACTGACTGCACCCTGGCGATGCGGCAAGGAAATTCCTCACAGCAGCTCTGTCCAGAGTAGGAGTGAACCCATGGTTACAGAGGGGCTGTGGAGCTCAAAGAGGAATGACTTGCAGAGACATGCAGCTGAGACCTACACTGAGACACGGCCGAGCTGGGTTTCACACAGGCCAGCCTGACTTCAAAGCCTGGCTTCACTCCCTGCTCAGCAGGGTTAGAAAGAGGCAAGCAGTTAATGAAGAGTAGACAATGTATGTAACCCGCCTATAATCTTTTTGGCTTGTCCCGGAGGTTCTGTTCAAGTTAATCATAGTTTTATATGCTGATTATCGTTTGAGACGATGCTTTTAATGTAAAAGCAAATCCACGAGGCCCGCTTCCTGCCACACAGACTGTGGTGACTCCATATCGCCACCTGGTGGCAGAGCCTTCTCATAGCGGGAAGAAAGATTTTGAAGAGCAAAGACTTAACCAGACAACAGCTGCTGAGAGTGGGCGGGACTCCTTGTTGGAAGTGAGAACCCACGGGCTGTAGTCCATCTCTGGACACGCCCCGCTGGCACTGAGCCGCTTCAGCTCTCCGGACAGCAGATCCTTGGTTGTGCAGCTCCTGCGTGGACTGGTATTCCTGGAGAGCCCCTCTAACAGACGTTCTCTGACTCCTCTCTCTTTTTAAAAATGATAGCTGTATATATATTTATTTGGCTGCGCTAGGTCTTAGTTTTGGCATGTGGGATCTAGTTCCCTGACCAGGGATCAAAGTCGGGCCCCCTGCATTGGTAGCCCAGAGTCTCAGCCTCTGGACCACCAGGGAAGTCCCTGTTGTCTCTCTTATGTTGCATTAAACTTGAAGAAAAAAACATGCTCAGACAGTTTTTGAGACACCAGAGGGGAAGCCAGTTTGGGCAAGCAGGACTTTCGGAAGCCCTCAGGCCACTCTGTAAAGGTGGTACGTTTTCCTACAAGTGGGCAGCTTGGCCCACTGAGGGCTCTCACTCTGGGATCCTCTCAGACTCCAGGCCACCATGAGCGTTGGGGGACATGTGTCGTCTTCAATTATGGTTTCCTCAGGGTATATGCCAGTTAGTCTTAAGGGAGACCAACCCTGAATATTCACTGGAAGGACTGATGCTGAAGCTGAAGCTCCAGTATTTTGGTCATCTGATGTGCACAGACAACTCAGTGAAAAACTCCCTGATGCTCGGAAAGACCAAGGGCAGGAGAAGAGAGTGTCAGAGGATGCCCAGTAGTGGGATTGTTGGGTCATATGGTGGTTTTATTCCTAGTTTTTTAGGGAATCTCCATACTGTCTTCCACAGTGTCTGTATCAGTTTGCATTCCCACCAACAGTGCAAGAGGATTCCCTTTACTTCACACCCTCTCCAGCATTTACCGTTTGTAGATTTGTTTGACGATGGCCATTCTGACCTGTGTGAGGCGATACCTTGGTGTATTTTGGTTTTGCATTTCTCTAATAATGAACAATGTTGAGTATCTTTTCATGTGTTTATTAGCCATCTGTATATCTTGTTTGGAGAGATGTCTGTTTAGATCTTCTGCCCACTTTTTAATTGGGTTGTTTGTTTTTCTGGTATTGAGCTGCATGAGCGGCTTATATATTTTGGAGATCAATCCTTTGGCAGTTGTTTGGTTTGCTATTATTTAGTAATGTGCTTTTATCACTATGACTACTCCTGGGTGAATCTGGCTTCAACTTCACCTGTATCCAGGGTTCAGACACTGTCACCAGGATCTAGATCAGGTTTCTCTTTCTCAGCCTGATCTTGAGTGGCCTCAGCCTGCAGCAGCTTGAAACAGGATCTCAGTTTCCCAATCAGAGATTGAAGTCAGGCTGCAGCAGTGAGAGCGGTAAATCCTAACCACTAGAGCACCAGGGACAGTGGCCAGTGACAAAGCCCTGGCCCAGCGGCTTCGGAGAAGTGAGTTTCCACAAAGAGATGAAGAGTAGTAAAGCAAGTACAGTGTTTATTAGGAGGAAAAGAAAAGAGTATTTGTGAATAGACACACATGGGCGGACTCAGAGAGTCATGCTCTGGTGGTAGTTTAAATCACTTATATGGGGCATTTCTTCTGGATTTCCTTTGGCCAGTCATCTTACTTTGGTTATGAGTCCATATTTGGTTTAACTTAGGGTCCTCACCTGTGTGTGTTCATCTCTTAGCCAAGATGAATTCTAATTAAGAGGCCTATAGGGAGTTTGACATCACTTACTATGGGATGATACCCCCTCCCTTGTTGACCTCAAAGGGCTTCCCAGGTGGTGCTAGTGGTAAAGAACTACTAATGCAGGAAACATAATAGATGCAGGTTCGATCCCTGGGTCAGGGAAGATCCCCTGCAGATGGAAATGGCAACCCACTCCAGTATTCTTGCCTGGGAAATCCCATGGACATAGGAGCCTGGCAGGCCACAGTCCACAGGGTCACAAAGACTGGAATATGACTGTAGCAACTTTGCACGTGCACTCACCTTTCTGCACATGTGTAGTTGAGAAGGTCTCCTTCACCTCGAGAATGAGAAATGTGTGGTCTCTTTATCTTATAGGACTTCCCAGGTGGCACTAGTGGTAAAGAATCTTTTGCCTGCCAGTGCAAAAGATGCCAGACACAGGTTTGATCCATGGGTAGGAAAGATTCCTGGAGAAGGAAATGGCAAGTCACTCCTAAAAATTCCTTCCTAAAAATTCCCTGGACAGCTCCAGTCCCTGGGGTTGCAAACAGTCTGACACAGCTGAGCACTTAGCACCTTTATCTTTTATCTGGACAGGACTCAGCTCCTCCTTGTTCCTGTTATTATCTTTATCTTGGAGTATCTATCCTCAGGGGACAAACTCCAGCTGCTCAGCCTGGGGCCCAGCTATGTCTTGTCTCAAGCCCTTCTTCCTTCAAACCTTAGGGGTGGCTTTAGCTCTTCATACTCTCAACCTACATGAAAAGACACAGTCTAAGTAAAGACAGTGATTCCACATAAATGCCACAGAGCATCATCCCTCAGCCCCTCCTACACACATTCTGGATGGAGGCCCCATGGTTGGAGTCTTCTTTCTACGGTCCCAAAACAACCACAGGAGCCACCTGGGGGCACCCCTTCCCTCCTGATTCAGCAGGAGCCAGCAAGCTTATGCTCTGGAATGCATTCTGATTGGCCCCATTTGAGTCACATGACCCACCCTCAACCAATTACATGGCCACTGGATTGGAATGTGCTGACTGTCTCAGTTCAGTCGCTCAGTCATGTCCGACTCTTTGCAACCCCATGAATCACAGCACGCCAGGCCTCCCTGTACATCACCAACTCCCAGAGTTTACCCAAACTCATGTCCATCGAGTTGGTTATGCCATCCAGCCATCTCATCCTCTGTCGTCCCCTTCTCCTCCTGCCTCCAATCCCTCCCAGCATCAGGGTCTTTTCCA